GAACATATCATATTGTTTGGAAAAGCAGTCAAGAAATAAAAATCATAGCTAAATGTCTAGAAGAATATTACTAATTTGTAAAGTATTAGTAATGAAAGTAACTTGACACTAAGTTTGTCACAGTGTTCACTCACTTCCTCATTTCCACATTCAGTAAACGTCCACTAACCACATGCTTAAGTGCCAGGCCCCCGGCTAAGGACCGAGTATGCAAAAACAAAACATGCCCCTGCCCCAGTCCACTAAAATAGATATGTAAATGTACACAAAAACTTACTATTTCTTCAAAGTGATGGATTTTCCTTTGCGCAGTTCAAGGCAGCATTTACTATGAGGATTTTCCACTAGTAATACACAAGTGGGGATTCAGCAGCATGTTAACACAGTCAAGAAAATGAGTCAAAATACAGCTTTGAAGATGTTTATGGCAGAGTACCTTATTTTCCTTTGCGCAGTTCAAGGCAGCATTTACTATGAGGATTTTCCACTAGTAATACACAAGTTGGGATTCAGCAGCATGTTAACACAGTCAAGAAAATGAGTCAAAATACAGCTTTGAAGATGTTTATGGCAGAGTACCTTATGACAGTGAAAAACTGAAGAAAACATCAGTGCCAAAAAATAGAGTTTCAGTTAAAGTATGGTACTACCATAGAATGGAATTCTATTTAAACATAATTTAAAATGATGTTGGAGAGTGGAAAATGTTGAAAATGTTCATTTCCTATTAAGTGGTGAAATTTCAGTATATATTTTGATGCTATTTATGTATATAAACAAATAAAAATATACTTTTACATTAAAAAAGTGACCAAAGTGTTTTGGTAGCAAAATAAGTACCAAAACGTTATAACAGTGGTAAAGTTTGAAAGATGGATCTGGGAGTTACAGGTGATTTATTATTTTCTCCTTTGTGTTATTCACAAAAAGTTTACAAATTTCCTACAATGAGCATGTATTAGAGACAAAAGCGTTCTGAAATGTTTGCTCCTTTCCTAAATCAGAAGCTACACAACAGTACAAATGCACCAGCCAGGACCTGACAGTAACATTACCTAGAAAAAGCAATGAAGAGTCGTCCTGTACTGCAGTGACTCTCCACCTCCTGCTGTCCGGCCCGGGGGCCCCTGCCTGAGGGTGCGGTACTTAAAGTGTCAGGACCCAGGACTTCTGGCTGCCAAGGGTCCAACAGCCTCATCATTAGCCTCTGCATGGTGCTGCCTAACTCTGATTCCAACAACAATCGGAAATATAAAGAGCAAAACACTCAGAGGTTCAGAAGCAAAGCAATAACAATAATGAGAAAAAGTAAGGGGCTTAGAGGGACGAGAAATGCATACAGAGATGATTAATTAAAAGGGAGTACATACATGGTCTGTCCATCTCCAAGAGACACTGGACGAGTTTATGTAATTACAGGGAGAGAGGATTTGGTTGTGTGAAACAATGTCCCATCGAAGGACGCGTTTCCTCACCTGTACTCTGCAGGAAGCCGGGCAACCTGGCCTCTGAGTAGGTCCCATATTTCAAAACTCCACAGTTTGCAGACATGTTTGGTGTTTTAACTTTCCTGAGACATTCTAGATTATGTGTTTTGTAAACACCTAAAATGATGACAGTTGGTTTGCTTACTATAAGGTAGACATGTCATAGAATTAACTTATTTAATTATCAAAATGGCGAAGTAGGTTCTGCTATTACTCCCAGTTTAGAGACAAGGAAACTGAGGCACAGAGAATTAGAACTTGGTCCAGGGTACACTGACCTCTGCACCCTCTGGGGCCAGTATGCTCACGCTGCACTGATCCCAAAAAGGAAGTGGTGAGTATTAAACCAACACACAAACAAGTCGTATTAAACAGACCACATCACACCACATTTGTCGTCCTTTTTTTTCCTTTTGTCGTTCTGGTAGGCTCACCAGTTCAGATGCTTGATTAATTATATTTCAATTTCAGAAAGGCATTTGATTAAGTCTCCACTGACATCCAACCAAAATGGGAAAATGTTGAGTTTGTAATACAGGAGAGAGTGCGAGGCAGATTTGAGTCTGGTTTAACAGTCAGGCCCAATGGACGTCAGCATCAGACCAGAGGCAGGGCCCGGTGGAGGGGCCCAGCTCCGTGATGCTCTCTCTTCTTTTGAAAATGATGACTGTGTTGATGACTTACCACTTTGCCAATGGCTTAACGTGAGAAGGGAACTACGATGTTGCGTCATAGGATTAAAATTCTGAAACATCTGAAACACCTCACTGAAAGCGTTAGTAAAAACTAACAAAATAAAATTGAATAGGAACAAATTGTAATATACTGCACCTAGATTTTAAACAATCGAATAACTGAAAATTGTGAATCGGGGGGAAAGTAAACCGGCAAAACTGCACAGAGACTGGAGAGACCTAGAAATCTAAGTTTATTAAAAAGCCAGAGTTGCATGGAAGTGTGACGTGGGGCTGACATGGGGCCAGAAAAGGCTGGCGAGCTCTTTGGCTGGGTAAACAGAGGTATAGAGTCTGCAAAAGGGAGGTGATGGGCTTGTTCCACTCTTCACGGTCACAGCAAGCCAGGGACTTGGTACAAGATTCAGGGTCTAAAAGAGGCAGCCAGAGTGGAACTGGTCTGGAAGTTTCCTCCCACGAAAAACAGTCTGTGGGATAGGGAAATATGCAGCCTGAGGAATCATTCAGACCCACACACATTCACCTCTGTGTAAATAAAACTGCCAGCTGTGGGCACTCATAGTGCCAGGCGCATGCTGAGATCTTGTTCGTCTGTTCATTTTTTAAGGAGGGCTTCCGTGTTAAGGGGATTCCAGCCGCGTTCCACCTCCTGCAGCTACAATGTCCACTGGACCTGGGAGTCAGGACATGCCCTGAGAGGCAGATCTGCTCAACCCAAGACTCTGCTAACACACAGAGCTGTCCAAAAAGTGGAGCAGCCCTCATCCCCGCGGCATAATTTCCTGTGTGAGATGGTGGCCTTTCAGGGATAGAGATGCCAGGCCTCTGGGCTCCAAACTCAACGAGCGTTTCCATGGAGAAAAGACCTCCTTTCCAGGTCTGGTGCCCCTGCTGAAGCTGGAGACGAGCGTTCCCCTCCTGTGGATGCAAATAATAGAACACCCACCTCACCAGAGGCCCATTGCGCAGCGTCTGGAGAGGCACAGCGGGCACCTCCTGGAACCCGGCCACGTGTCTCCAGACACCACCAGAAGTGCTGCCTGGAAGTACACGCAGCCCTGTCCCTCTGAGAGAGTCCTGGCTGTGTCCGTGCAAGCTTTGGGTTTTGCTTCAGAGTCCCTCATTTCTTCCCCTTTACACCGAGGCTGCTTCAGGGTGTGGTTATTGGGGGTGGGCGGGACAGTTTGTGTCTCTGGAATGGCCCCTGTGTGAGCGTGGGTGCGATCGAGTGAAAGAGTGAGTGTATGTGCGTGTGTATGAGTTGAATGTGTGTGCGCCGCGTGTGAGCGCGCGTGCCGTGGGCGCGGCGGACCGCGTGGGGCCCCGGCCTCGTGCGCCCGAGAGCCGGGCGGGCTCTGCGAGCGGGGTCCGCTCGCCTTGGGGACCCG